ACTACTATCCTCATAACTTTAAAAGTTACTAAATCTGCATTTTTATTCATGTTTTGGAACGTTCACATAAATGCCAACAACTTTGCTACGTTTCTTAGAGCAAAATCTCTCTTACACTTTCCATAGGGTAAGTTATAGTAATCGCAAAAAAAAAATTAAATTTTTTGCATATCTTTAAGTTCGAAGGTTTCTGAACATTTTGGCACACCTTAGAAAAAAAGGATGTGTGGTATGCAGTTACAGTTCGTCGACGATTTATAGAACACGTTCTGAATGATTCAAAACATATTTGATTCCTATTGATGGGGAGACTTGCTGATTAGTTTCTGGCAAAGGCAGGTCCTGTCATTTCGGAGATACAAAGCAAAATGTGCAGAAACTGTCAATTCAGGTTTTAAAAGAACGGAGCGTTCGATTTGAATGATTCAAAAAATATTTCACTTGTATTGACGGAATAAAGAATTGCTAAATAATTTTAGAGATCAAAAAAATAAAGTTTGGAAAAGACATATGCCTCAACCTCTTAACCTATTACATATTTTATAGAGATTTTAATAATAGGTACAAATTTTGTTCTCAACTTTCACATATACAGCTGAAACCAATTTTTTCTACATTTTTGATAATAATTATCAACCGATTTAAAGTAGATTAATTTTGTTTTAAGTTTTTATTAAGATTTCATTAATCGAGAAAACATTTTTTCTTTTTTACCACCAACTCTTCTACTGTTATTATATATTGCATGGCGTTTATGTTTTGTTCATTTTGTAAGCTTTCGTTAACACATTAAGAAAGGATTTTATTCACCTTTATTCTTTTATTTTCTTTTTACCAAGAACCACCGACCTTAGGAGAAATAACTTGGAAGAAATCAGAAAATTAGGAAGAAACTTCTCCAGCTAAACTTAAGGAATGTTAGTAAAGGATTGATACTAATTATAAGAAGGCGATTCTGTCGTTAGGATAAAACTTGTCCAACTAAACTTGAGAATCATTTCGACTAATAAAATTTGATACATAGATGACGATTCTACCATAAAATAGAACAATGTTAATTTGCTATATTATGTAGCAGGCAATGCTATATTATGTAGCAGTTTTTATATAAAATGCTGCTAAAAACTGTAAAAATCCTATTTGGTTTCTGTACAATCAGACATCTTAGATAGTAAACTTATGGACCGATTCTGACGCTTAACAGTCCAATGTTATTGCAAGGCTATGTTATGAAGAACTTTTCATATTAAATATTGCCAAAAGCCATGTGGCTAGTGTGCAGTTTTTCTTATCTTGTCAGATAGAAAACATAACCTAGAAACCGCACAAATGTCGAAAAAATGATCTTAGTTAGCAGGGTATTTTTGACTCAGCTTTATAGCATACGAGTGACGTTGCAATTTATGTGTAAAACGCATGAATGCACAGCAAATACATGACATTCTGACAGTATTTAGTACCATTTTGTATGTGAATTGAAAGAACCTAATAGCCTTGTCATAATATTGGACTATTTTGCGGCACAATTAGCCCATAAGTTTAAAAATAGCAAGTAAAAAATATATTCATAGATTTTAGATAAGGTATTAAATACTTGTTGATTTTAAAATATTTCATACATTTGTATAAGTTTCATCATATTATAGTAGTTTCTAGTGCTATAATCATGTATTTTTCTATTTTTCTACGACTAAAGGTGTCATCGGTGTGAAAGGAAGCAAGTATAATCCGGCTTGTATTAGATAGATTATAGATAATCTAATAGTATTTTATTTATGTAGAAGTAGCCGATGCACTATCGACTATCTACAAATTGTCCATTTCACTTTTGGCCTGGGAGCATTTAATTTCCACCTTTCGATAAGCGCGAACACGGAAAATAAAAGTTTCAAATTGCTTTCACATTGCATCGAAACTACTGAGAAGAAGGCGTCGGCTGTTACGACACCGTTATAGAGATAGAAATATATATATATATTTATATATATATATATACTAGCTGGTCCGGCAAACATTGTTTAGCCATGAGAAATATTTCTGGAAAAATATTTAGGGACCGATTCTGCCGCAAAACAGAAAAATGTTATGGCAAGGCCATGTTACGCTCCAACTTGCATGCATTATGCTACTGAATCATACAGTCAAAATGTCATGTATTTGCTGTGCACTCAGGCGTTTTACACATAAACTGCAACGTCACCCGTAAGTTATGAAGCTGATTCAGAAACACACTATTATCTAAGATCGTTTATTTGAGATTTGTGCGGTTTCTAGGTTAGGTTTCCTATCTGACAACCTTAGAAATACGCCTTACTGCATATCAACCACTTTGGCTTTGCTTTTTCAATATTTTGTATGGAAAGTTCTTCATAACATAGCCTTGCCATAACATTTTTCTGTTATGCGGGAGAATCGGTTGTTTAATACACAAAATGACTAACTGATTGTGAATGTAGAAGTATGTGGTATATGAGGGAAAGAGGCAGCTAATACAAATGAAGTGGATGGTTTACCCATTGCAACGCATGCCTTATATAAATATTCCTGGAACATGGTAACAGTCATTGCAAATGCACAGCAAACACATAGCATTTTGACAGTTTTAAGTAACATTTTATATAAAAAACACAACGTTATATAGTCTTGTCATAACGTTGGTCTATTTTATGACCGACTCAGCCCATTACTATCCAATTACTCAATTCAATAATCTACACTACAATTAATAATTTTAATCCCACAACTAAAATTATAACTTTTCGATCACTTTATATCTCAATATATAAATATTCAATTCCAATTATCGTCGTAAAAATAGTTTTTGATTTACGGCGTACATTAAAAAAAGTCTTATCGTCGATTTTACTTAAAATAGAACCTGTAAGTAGTAACCTGATCGAATTATCTCACCTTAAGTAAATGTAAATTTAAAAGCTTTTATATTAAGATATCTAGAAGAATTTATTAAAGGTGTATATAGAATAGAGGACAGAAGGGGCTGTGAACATTTACACATATAGCAAAAAGAAAGCTGTGATTTAATTTAATTATATGTTATTATATCAAATTAATTCAATACATCATTTATAACATTCTATATTATTTTTAGTAGAGAGTGCTAGAATGTTATTGTAACAGTAGTAATAAATAAACAGGCATTTTTCAATAGGTTCATGAACGATATTGTAACATATTTTTTTTATCTCAATCAGACAAGTAAATTTTCCGGCATAATATTGTCAGAGCTACTGTCCCGCGGGCTAACGCAGTCTACAAAAGTGTGCAGGTGCATCGTTTTTTGTCAGGCAATATAAAATTGTACTTTATATATTTTATTTAGTTTCAAATTTATCAATCTTTGATAATGTGTACCAAATTTTGTGAATATTAAACTGTTCAAATATTTTAAAAAAATATTTAAGGACCAGTTCAATTTTTAATCAGTTTCTTGGTATTTTAAAAATGTTTCCTACGCCTGGCTCATCATCTCTATTAGATTTGAACCATATCTATTTAATTAATAGTACACTCTGAGAAACTGTCACATGATATCTTTGAAAAGTTATGCCAATTAAGGCCAAAAGATAAAATTATTTTATTTAGTGTACGTGGTGAGATTCCATTGGAAGTAAAAAAAATTACAGGATAAAGGGAATTGATTTAAATAAATACTGAAAATGTATAAAGACATTTTTTTGCATATATTTATTGTCAATCAAAATATACATCATTTTTTTAGACAATATGCTGGTCTTTAACAAGAACAATATGAATTTAGAAATATGACTAAAAAATCATTCATATGCAATTGCGTTAAATTTTAATATTTGAGGCAATAATAATGCTAATTTATTAACTTTTTTACGCAGGTTTTCATATATAAATAAACATTTAAATACAAATCGTAATCGTAATTGAAATTTTACCTATAATTTTTCAGTAGTCCAAATAATTGTATTATACTAACAATTTTAATTTTTTACAAATCTTAATTGCCTTTTGGCAATAAATGTGCTAACTAGGATTAGTACTAAAATCTCATTATAGTCATTTTAGAAAACGGTTATCGAATAGTATTATTCCCAAAAATCGGTTTTATCCAAAGTTTTTTTAAAATAACTATTTCCTCAAATAATTGGACAAAAAATGAGTTATTGAGAACAGTTTTTGTCTGAAACTATTTATTGACTAATGTTACTGTAAATAGTTTTTTATGCAATTTAGTAGAACAAAAAAATGTGATTGACCAGGAACTAATAACTTTAAAAATAATTAATTATGCGTTGTTTATGCCTAATTTTTACATATAAGGTTGTAAATATTATTATAATAGAGAAACGAAAGACAGTTTATCGATTTGCAAAAGTGTTTTCATCAATCTGATGCATTTGGCTGCATTAATCATTTGCAATATTGGTTCAGAGTTATTAATACATTCAAAACTCGCCCTTTCTATTTCTATTAAAAACCGATTTTTGAATTTCATAATTTTCTCAAAAAAAATTAAAAACTTAGCGCTAACGTTACTCACACAGAATTTAATATACATCAGCATTTAAGTTAATATATATTTAAGATGATACTAAAATTGTCATCTATCAAAAATTAATGTTTATGATTTTCAAGACCAATCCAGATTTGTGATGTATCTTATTTGATTTTCGGTACTATGATGCTTAAATTACATACTTTGTATGTATGAATCGAACATATATCAGCATTAGGCACAAATTTTAAAGAAACTTCTAAAGACATTTCTAAAAAAAAGTCTAAATGTCAAACAATGATAAGTTGTTTTTGCTATTTTTTCTTAGTTCAGAATGATCACTCTTTTTTTAACTTCCCGAAGGAGAAGTTTATGTTTTTTATTTATTACTTTCCATAAATTGGACAAAGGACACTTGGACCAAAACAGAAAGAGTTTTATCTCTTTTATCATTTAATGAAGATTCATATTTTATATAAAATACATATTAAATACATTTTTTTTTTAATTTTAGGCGGTGGTCGCAAAATCCAAAGTCACCTGCAAATGTCATGGAGTCAGTGGCTCCTGCAGTCTCATCACTTGCTGGCAACAACTTGCCAATTTTAGAGACATTGGTAAGGAAATTTGATTTAACAAAAAATATTTTTGTATAAAAAATCAAGATTTTGATATGTCTATATCTAGGCTTTCTTGAAAAAAAATCCTAATAAAATCGAAAAGCTGTAGGATATCATTTGCGCCTAACAAAAAAAAATTGAGGCATCCAATAAAATGATATTTCAAAAACGAAGCATTTCTTCTCGACTATAAAAAATATGATCTAAATCAAGTCCACTTTTTTACTTAGTCAATTTTACATCCAGAAGAGTTGACAAGAAAATAAAAAATATCCATGTAATTTACTTTTTTTATTGATTTTAAATATATGTACTCGTGTCGTCGCATGATAATAAAAAGTACTTTATGACCGGTCTTTTGCTTGTAGAGAGATTAATTTTAAAACTTCAACGAACTCGCCCATCGAAGAAAATACCAAATCCATGTAACAAAGTTGAAATACATTTTGTTTTTATTTACAGGATACTTTGGTATCATTTATAAACTGATACTGACGCAATATTTTTGTTTAATCAAGACTTGACATATTAAATATATATATATATAATATATATATATATATATATATATATATATACGAGTATATATATATCTAGTAAATTAGACTAGTAAATTACTAGACAGGTAAATTGGTAGACAGGTAATTTGGTAGACTGATAAGCAGGTTGACAGGTAGATTGGTAAACAGATATATTGGTGAACAGGATCATTGGTGACAGATAAATTGGTGGGTAGGTAAACTGGTAGACTGACAAACTGGTTGACAGGTAAACTGGTGGACAGGTAGAGAGGTAGAATTTTAGTTCAAAATTTTAATTGATGGTAAAATACAGTGAAGCGTAAACGGGTACAGCTAGTTTACTTATATAATGTAAACTTTAAATGTGTTCGACATTTTCGACAGTATAGTTCAACCGACTTGAATGGGTTTCAAAATTTTCAATAGAAGTACAATTTTTTCAAAATTTCCCAAATTTTCAGAAAACATCAAAACTTAAATAAAAAAAATTCAGAAAATTATAATATTAAAATCTTCAAAAAATCTTAAACTACCTTTCCGTTATCATTTCTCACCCGATTTCGTTGACAAATCATTTCTTTCGTCCAACATGGTGCACATGCGTTTAATAACCCGTTCCTTCGATGTTTCTTTTATCATGGGTCGTAAATTAACATCGATTTTAAGGCGTAACATCGGATAAGTACAGATAAGGACGGTTCCCTTTCTATCTTACTAATCTCTTGTAAAATCTACACAAGAAGACATTGTATCGGTCATCATCAGACATAAATGAATGAATGGTCACCCTGAGGAATGGACCACACGCACCATACAGCGTTATTTAATGGTCGTTAATGTCAACATCGAGGATTGTAATGGTAAAATTTGAGGTGTTATTTGTCAAATGAGATGGTGAAAATTTATATCAAACTTTAGAGAAGCTTATAGTCATAAAATTCTAGTAATTGACTAGCAATGACACCTCCAATGCGCATTCAGGAATACAATTGCTATTTCACATAAGTGCTCACTAATGGCTTATTAATGATATATTATAGTTAGTTATTAATCCTCAATTATAATTTTTTTTCCTAGGTGATTATTTAAAGGACAAATACGACGGTGCCACCAAAGTCCGAATAAATAAACGTGGAAAGCTTCAAATCAGAGATACCAGCTACAAAATGCCTTCTCCAGGAGATCTGGTCTACATTGAAGATTCGCCGAATTATTGCGTTAAGAATCAAATTACCGGCAGTTTAGGAACACATGGCAGAGTTTGCAACAGGTATGCCAAATTTAGATTTAACAAACATTTTAAATTATAAATGAAAAAAAATATTCAAGATCAACTTCTTAAACTAAAGCAGTAGGTCCCTAACATTTAGATTTTTGTTTGTAATAGTATTTGAAAAGCTTCTGATTTATGAATATATTTAACTATATATATAGTGTCATGATGTTTGTCCTCGATGGACTCCTAAACTACTGAACCGATTTTAAATTTTAACGGCTCACCGTGTGCATTTATATCTTAATTAGGATATAGGCTATATTAAAAATCTCAGTTTATATTAAAACTATTAAAATTTCAAGATTTTCAAATAATTTTGACAAGAAAAAACACTGTGAAATAACAGGTGTTAAAGTTTCTGAAAATCGAAAAAAAATCAATTCAGATATTCGTGTTCATTCAAATATGACAAGGTTCAAAAAATACTTTAAATCTCAATTTATAATAGAAATAATACATTAGTCATAAATCAAGAAAGAAACTATTGACAGTTTTAAAAACTAAAATATTTTTTTTGACAAAATCAAAAAGAAACAAATTTATTCTAATGTAACTAAACGTTATGCGATAAAGAAAAAAAATAATTTGAGCAAATGATAATATCACAAATTGTATTTGGAATATTAAATTATTATTAAATGTTGAATTATTTTGACATTCAGCAATTTAAAAAAAAGAAAACAAATGAAATGAAAAATACAAAATCCATAATATATTATAAACGCCAAAGTATAGTAAAAATTTACAATAGTTATAAATTTGAAAAAAAAGTGACAGTAATAAGAATCAAATATTTTTTTCAAGTTACTAAAGTAAATGTGTTTAAATTAATTTGAATTATCAAATCATTTAAAAATTCGAAAATTTGCAAACATACTTTATATTTTTTTCTGTCGTTGAATCATATTTTTGAGTCTTTTTCAATCAAATTGACGAAATAAAAAACAATAAATATTTAAAATATTAATTTTGCACGTTTCGGCGCCTTACATGTGTCATTATTCCACAAATTTATACAGTGTAAAAATGAAATCCAAAGAAAATGCCAGGGCTGGTTGAAGCTATCATAAAAAAATAAAAACATGAAATCATCTCATAAAGTTTTAAAACCACGTGCTTAATGCACTTAAATTAAACCTAAGGCTGTGGTCAAACTGAAATCATATAGTCATTTTAGTTATTTTTCTTGTTTTTTGTTTATTTAAACTTTAAAAATGAAACTTCAAACAGCATCTTTAGAACCACAATCAAAAATGATGTCACAAATTGCTCAAATTTGTTAAACTATGACTTAAAATTTAAAAACATTTTCAAAATTGTTCGACTTTGAAAGACCGTATTTAAAAAAACGTGTCTTGGCAAGTTCAATAAAAAATTGGCGTAAATTAGGATTGCAAAATGGTAAAATACTCAATAATTTTATAATGAAAAAAGAAGTAAAAAATAAAAAACTAACTATGATGTCGCATGGCATCGTGTCTTAAGGCAAATTGCTAAACTTCCTGTAACAAAAATTATTTTTTTCAAAAAAAGATTCAAACTATATCTAGAATTTGTAAAAAAATATATTTATGCAAATTTTTAAGTTTTGAAAAATTTGAATTTTTTTATACTTGGAATATTATGGAAATTTTGAGCTTTCTCTTAAAGCAATCGCGATAAGTTAGCTGCGTAGAAACGAAATATTCGATAAAAAATTGTATCCGCACACATCCATTTTTTCAAGGTATGCCAAAATGTTCAGAAACCTTTGAAACGTAAAGATATATAAAAAAAAATGATTTTTTTGCAATTACTATAATTTACCCTACGGGAAGTTAAAAATAACCCAAAATTTGCTAACGAATTTCGCTCACATTCAGTTCAAATTTATTCGCACAAGCTCAATGAGCGGGGGTAGATTCATTTGAACTGTTTGAGAGTAAAATGCAGTATAATAATATAAAAAAAATCTCACCAATAATATATTACTTTTTCCCAGGACTTCGGACGGCCTGGACGGCTGCAAGTTGCTCTGCTGCGGCCGCGGCTACAACACCCGGAAGATTTCTGTCCGAGAGCGATGCGAATGCAAATTCCACTGGTGCTGTTTTGTCGAATGCAAAACCTGCGTTCGAAACGTCGACGTCCATACTTGCAAATAATAAGGACAAATATAATGCAATATAATATAATTATTGACATCATCGACAGACTTATTTATTAGGACGAAGATAACAGACCAGCTCTTGCTTGATTCTATGATCTGTAGGTTCTTGTATGAGGTAAGGTCTATACTCAAATTCCAGATCATACTTAATAATGGGCCGAGATATCATACTTAATAATGGGTCCAGAAAATAAAAAAAGTTGTTTGTGTTGGGTGTGTGACATATGTTTTCCCAATGTACTTATGAATCTGAAGTCAAAATTGGGGGTCACATTACAAAAATATCGTCACAATCTCTGATCTAGTACTAGTAATTCTTCTACATGTTGATCAAAATCCTATAATTTCTGTACAATTTCTAAATGTTCTCTACATTTGTTTTCCATGTCCTAAACCCCTTATCATTCTTTTACAAATCGCACAGATTTTGGGTGAAATAAAAAGACCGATTCTGCCGCATAACAGAAAAATATTATGGCAAGGTCATGTTACGCTCCAACTTCCATGCATTATGCCACTGAATCATACTGAATTATGTCAAAATGTCATGTACTTGCTGTGCATTCAGGCGTTTTACACGTAAACTGCAACGTCACTCGTATGTTATGAAGCTGGGTCAGAAAGACTCTGTTATCTAAGATCATTTTTTTGACAAAGTTAGGTTTTGTATCTGACAACCTGAGAAATACGCCTGACTGCACTTTTATCAATATTTTGTATGGAAAGTTCTTAATAACATGGCCTTGCCATAACATTTTTCGGTTATGCGGCAGAATCGGTCTCAAAATTTAGAATCACACTTTAGAATTGTCTGATTTTTTTTACAGATATTATACATAAAATCATTTGACACGTGTTGCAGAATTAAGCCGAAAAAAAATACGTATATATTGGCGAAAAATGAAAAATATATTATGGGAGAGCGGGGCTTAAAATATTTAATATCTTTTAATGTAAAAAAGTCTCCAACAAATTGTAAAAAGTATTTTGTAGCAGAGAAAAAAAGAAAAAATATGTTTATTTTTCAATCGATTTGAGTTGGGGTAAGGGCAAGTAAAACCTTTGTAAATATTTAAGGTTGTTATTGTTAAAAAAATTGCAAAGACAATGTTTTTTTTTAAATCATCACAAAGTTCACTTCAATATGAGTGTATTAAAAAAAGAATAATACTGATCATATTAGGAGATAATTAGTTCATAGAAATTAAGCAAAAAATCCATATTTCAATCGTAAATATTTTCGTAAAAAAAATTTTCAGCAAAATCCTGAAATACGTGTTGAATGATTTTATGTATATCTGTGAAAAAAAACTCAAACAATTTTATAATGTTATAGTCTGGTTGGTAAAAGATTTAAAATTTACAAAAGTAATTCAAATGACTTCAATAAATAATTTTATTAATGAAGTAAATCTGATATTTAAATCATATTTCGTATTCATAATATTCTTTAACATGAAATAAATTATTAATATATTTGTTGTTTTTATATCTAATATGAATTGCATTAAATTTTAATGTACATATAAAATTATTAAGTAATCATAGAATAAATTAAGTTAATAACAAGGTATTTATATAACTTTTATGCCATAATTTAAGTAAATAGAAAAAGTAGATTACATAATTAAATTTGCAATACTACTTAAATATAAAAACAAGGCGCGGTATTTGATAACTCTAATATATATATAAATTTGAAAAATGAACTGTTAACATTATTTTGAACTACTTATTAAAAATTTTAAATTATACAAAAGTTTCAAATCTCGGTTTGTCTCATCATTAGCGTAATGAATTTAACTTAAGTTCTGATCTATATTTTGGTGATTTAAGTTAAATTTGTTAGACTGATGATGAGACAAACTGAGTCTCGAAATGTTTCTAAAATTTAAAATTCTTAATAAAGTATGGTTTGTTCATATTTCAGAGTTAATTTAATATTCGATTCACTCATAATTTATATATACATATATACATATATATATATATATATATATATATATATATATATGTGTGGAAATACCAGCAAATAAATTTCACCAAACATTTTGAATCAAATTGATCATCATCTCAGTCATATCTTACATTAAACATTTAAGATCAACTATAACATTAAGTTTATTTATATTTATAACATAAATTATATATATAATTCTAGTGTATGTCCTTTGTATTTACATGTATTCATAATATATTCTATATGTGTAATTTGTCAAACTCTTAACAATATCTGTGTTTACAATTTATCATTTAGCGACTGTACATAGTAAGTAAAAAATAAACATAATTTATTATAAAGTTTCTATCGATATTTGTAAAATATAATAATAATAATAATAATAATAATCTATGAAAGATGATTACAACATTTGCAATTGAAATTTGTGTCTGTTGTAGAAAAATAAACAATTATCTAATTTATATTAATATTTGTATAATATAATAATAATCTATGGAAGATGATTACAACATTTGCAATTGAAATTAACGTCTGTTGTAAAAATATTATCAAATTTATATTATTATTTGTTAATAATCTATCTATGGACGATAATTACAACAATTGCATTTGCCTACTGTGTCTGGTTTCTTCGAATAGAATAAATACACTTTGAGTAGAAATAAAGTCTCATCTAATTTAATTTCAGATATTCCCAACATGTCCATTTCTCTTTTGGCCTTAGCGATTGTTTCGTGGTCTGCAGGGGTAAGTGTATCTTCGATGTCTTTTATATGTTCTTCAGGGTCTCCTCTAATTTTCATTGTGTTTACTAAGCTTTCAACACGTTGCTGTTTCTGTAACAATCTTATGTTTTCTTGCATGCTCAGTTGTCGTCTAGTCATAACATTTAGCAAAGCCTTCTCAGTCATATCTAATAACACGTATACTGATTCCATTAAGTCGACGGTGAATAAGAAGAAGTTTTTTATGGATCCTTGTTGGCCTCCTTTGTTTATTACGCGTAGTTTGATGAAATGGTTTTCAAGAAGTTCGTATGTTAATTGTTTGGCTTCTTTATCGGGGATCATAGCACGTTTTTGTATGAGCTCTTGCTCGATGAATTTATGTGTTCGTACAACGCGGAATATTCTTGCGGATTTAGAAGAAAACCGTTGGACGATGTAGTTTTCTAAACAACACCAAGCCAATTGCTCCATAGCAAGTGCTACGTTGATAACATACTGTCCACCGCTGGCATCCCCTATTTTTTTCAAAAATTGTGAGGAATCTTCTACAATAATTTTTAAATACTGATCCAAAAACGGAATTATATTTGGGTATTTATCCTCAGAAGTTTCAGCACAAGTTTGTTTCAATTCCACGAATGGTATAGCGTTAGATTGTTGTTCCCAAGCATCGGTACGTACATACATTTGTTGCAATAAACATTTCATAACTTCCCCTGCACATTCATCTATCCTACGTGTCATAGCACTGATCATCAATTCATCACGCATGTCTTGATGAAATTTAGAAAAATTACACACCCAATAAACGTTTTCATCTCCTGGTTTGCCTTCACTTCCATTTTGCATTTTAGATAGCTCTCGCAGGTCTATATCAGGCATTACAAACATGTGGGCTTCATCAAGAAAGAGTGAAGGCACCGATGATTCTGTGATTGGAACCGGACACCGGCAAAGATAGTTACCATGTACCATATCAACAAATTTGTCTCGTAAAGATACTAAATCACACAGATTGCTCGGATATTGTTCCTTAACCCTTGCAAGACATCTTACAATGAGTTCTGAAGCCGTGCAAGAGCCTAGTCTCAGCAACTCATCGAGCAACACCTCAGCTTCGTCTCCGTACTTGTCTTTTATCCGGCATATGTATTTTGGGTACCGGACTATGTAAAAGACTCTTTCATTCAGTAGTTCGTACTCAGCAAAGTCTGGGTGTGCTGATGATGTAAAGGTAATCAGTTTATATTTGGCTAAGATGCATAATGAGTGTTTTATTTCTGATATAGGCAGTTTTGTAGTCGAGTGAATATGAGCAACAGGTCTGGATCCATGTCTGAATAAATCGTAGCCTACAGCTGCTATAGTTTCCCCAAATTGCTCGGTTAGAATTTTCAATATCAATTTACCTGATTGAACTGACATTTTAAAGGTAAATCAGTAGTTTTGTACAAATTTGACAAAATAACCTCAAAATTCACGTGCCGCAAGACTAAACCTACAATCATTAGTAGTAACCTAACTTCTTTTTGGCTATTTGGTTTAAATAGATATAATATTCATTTCATTAGTTTAATAATGAATTTCAATGAAATAATATAATGTAATTATGAATATTTCATTTCATAAGAGAATAAAAACAAACGTCATAAACGATCGTTAATACCAACAACAGATTTTTACATGATGGTTGGTAAATGCATTCATAGACAAGGCATCGGTAATTATTTTACTCAACTGGTTTGTTCTAAATCTTTCAAAAAGAGTAATATAAATAACTAGATAAAAACAAACTTTGTTTTTTTTACAAAAATAGTATCTCATATTTTTTCATTTTTGTGTTTTTTTCTGGTTTGGTATTAATATTTCTCCTCTTTTAATTTGTTATAAATTTTGAAATTTTTGAAATTTTTGTTATTCATTGTAATTACGGATTTTACACTGCTGAATAATGACACTTATTAAATGTCGAAACGTTTAATAAATAATATTTTATCTTTTTAATTTTCATAAATATCATTAGTCTAGTCATTTAAGCTTAAATTAGGTAAGAATCTCGGAGTTCGACCCAGCTATAAGTCTGTAAATACTTTTATATTGACACCCTAAAGTTCTCTCAAAACCTGCATATGATAGGGTGTACGAAACATATGTAGGGTTTTGAGACAACTTTTAGGTGTCAATATACAAGTATTTACAGACTTACAGTTGGGTATCTCAAACTTACTATAATGACTGGACTACATGTGAAATGATCTATTACTTCACATTTAACTTACTCAATTCGACCATATCTTAGTATATATGTATATGTTTTTTTTTATAGATTTTTTTCATTATTTTCAATATCACATATTTGTTAATTTTAACATCCCCATTTATTGTCCTAATGTTTAGAAATAATAAATAATCTATTACTTCATGTAATTAAAATTAACATCCATTTATTGACTGCTTGTTTTTTTTCCTTTTTCGCTTGCGATATAATCTTATTCTTTGAGCAGCTGTAGTATCTGTCTTGCCTATAAAAATATTTTCTATTTTAATAACTTCTATAAATAGAAACTACGAATAATACCGAAATCATTTCAATAAACTGACGTTTCTTACAATCGCCACAAATGTTAAATTTGTTTTATTTTTTCACTGTAATTAAATAAATAATATAAACTTTAATGATTTCATCGCGAGCGAATGATGAACAGTTCAGGCGTAACGGCCTTCCGTTACATTTTTACAGATTTACTCTTTTGTCGCGTCTAAAGAAGTCTTACTTCAAAAAAAAAGGTTAATTTTTTTTTATAATCTTTTTTAATTCGACGATTGGGCTGCAAATTATTTCAAATATAATTCAACGTCGATAAAACTACCAATATATATCTATTAAATTTGTTCTAATGTTCAGTTATTTTCAGAAAACCACAAAAAAAAATTAGAATTTGCTATTTTGCTGAATGATGGTACGAATACAGTGTCAAAACGTCATTATAAATATTTTGGTATGTATATATATATATTTATTATATGAAATTTGTTACAATATTTAGTAATTCTTAGAAGTTTTTATAAAACTTTTTAGAACTTGCTAACTTGCTGAATGGTGGCACACATACATTGTCAAAACGTATATAGTAAATTGTTAAATTATGAAATATTTTTTAACTTCCTGTATAGTAACATCACTAGTAATTCTCCAAAACTCAAAAACAAAAATTACTTTTCAAAGCATTTTGGCATACTTAAGAAAAATTGATATATGTATGTGTGTGTGTGTGCGCGCGCGTATGTATGTACAATTTTTTGTCCACGTTTTCGGGAGCACGGATGAACTGATTAGAATTTTTCAAAAAACATTTGATTCCTATTGATATGGAGACTTTACTGAATAGTTTTTGGCAAAAGTTGGTCCAGCCGTTTCGGAGATACTGAGCATTATTATGCTTATTTATCTATGATACGGAGCAAAGAGTTCAGAAAATGGCAATTGAGTTTTTGAGAGAATGAAGCATCCGATTTCAATGATTCAAAAACATTGTGTTGACAGTAACTTGTATTGTATTAACAGTAATTTATAATAGGTTGTCAAATATCTCCCTTCCGCCTTTTTGTATTAAACCAAGAGCAAAAAAGCGGACGGGAGATATTTGACAACCTAATATTAACAGAATTGACTACATTTTTGCAGATTTAAAAAAAATTCAAAAAATGTTATTTGGTGGTGGAAAATCAGATCTTTTCGACAATATGGATCAAACTATATATAAATTGATTTTTTTAAAAAAGAGTTTTTATTAAGTAAGTTTTTTTTTAAAAAAAACAGTATTTTTAACTTCCCGTAGGGTAAGTTATTGTAATGGGCCGAAAATCGGAATTGAAAATTTTTACATTTCTCGACGTTTTGAAGGTTTCTGAACATTTTTGCATACCTTAGAAAAAATGGATGTGTGTGTGTGTATGTATGTATGGATACAAATTTCCAGTCATGTTTTCGGTCGCACGGATCAACCGATTTGAATGGTTCAAAAAACATTCGATTCCTATTGATAGGGAAAATAGCTGATTAGTTTTTGGCAAAGACAGGTCCAGCCGTTTCGTAGATACGGAGAAAAGAATGCAGAAAATAGAAATCGACTTTTTGGGAGAACGGAGTATCTGATTTGAATGATCTAAGAAACAATCAATTAGTAATGATTGGGAAAAGTGTTTATCAGTTTTTGGCAAAGGCAGGTCCAGCCATTTCAAAGATACGGAGCTAAATATGTAAAAAATGGCAGTTTTTGAGAGAACTAAGCGTCCGATTCAAATGATTCAAAGAACTTTCTGCTTGTCTTAACAAAATAATTGATTTTGGAAAAAAAAACTTGTATCAACTTTTTTTTTTTTTAATTTTTTGTACATCGAAAATAATTCAGATTTTATTTTTAATTCTGACTACAGTTCTAATATACTTTACAAATAATTTCAACTTTGCAATTCAGTTTATATAATTCTTATAAATGTTAGACAATTTTACAATATTCATAATAATCTATTTGAAAACATTCAGTATTCCTCGAACATTTCGTTACGGTACGAGAAGTTCCTGCAATTTGCCTTAAGGCACGATGCCATAATTGCCTCAAAACAGAATTCCACTTACAGCTAGTTAAATTTATAAATAGAAATAGAAAATTTATCAAAAAACTCAATAATTTTCAAAAAAGATATTTGTTTCAATATTCAAATTTATTAAATATGTTCATACTGTCCAGAAATGTTGAAAAAAATTAAACAATTCTATTTATTCTTTTCCGAGCTTTAAAAAAAATTAATTACGGTGTCGGAAGTTCCGGTAATGTGATTTGAAGCACAATGCCCTGCACTAATAGTTATTTCAACAAGTCAAACATATGATTCAATGTCGAATAAAACAATTCACACCCGATATAAAAAAATATCAGATACGAATGTATACGAAGTACGACGACGAAACCCGGAGTGCATCAGAAATATTACTATTACTATATACACCAGCGCCCCGTCTAAAATGTCATTATTGTAAATGTGAACGTTGTGCATGTATGTACCAAAATAGTGAATCATGGTGGATAGGCTAGGTGAGCTCGAATTAAAATTATTTTAATTTAATACACTTATTTTTAATTAAATATTAATAATTATTTATTAATAAAACAATTCAGCAAATTAAATAACGTATGTCACATAAAGTTCAACACATTCTGAACTAAAGTAACAAGAAACGAAGCGTGAATGTTCCTCTACCTGCCAAACCTAAATAAGACATTTATATAATTATTTAATATTCTAAACTATTTTATAATGTTTTATAATGAATCCTTTCTTTTTTTGTGAGTATATACGTTTTGTAAGTATATACATTTTAATTGGAAACTGTTTTTTTAGATGGTTATAAATTAGGTTTTGACAGCTTACTTGTGCAACAGTTGATTTGGTTAAAACATATGCAAATGTTAAATTAGTTTAAGAAATAATTTGAAAATTGATATGTATTTCATTTTTGTATTGTAGAAATTTGTTGTATGTGATTTCTAATTTATTTTATTTGTTTTTAGTTAATAGCGAGGCAAATGCAAGGCGGATTGCCATGGTGGAGAACTGCTTCGGCAGTTCTGGACAGGTAAGTTACAAAATATCTTTGTAATTGATGATTCTGAATTATATATATATATATATATATATATATATATATATATATATATATATATACTAGACTACCCGACAGATGTTAACCTGTACCCACGTCTGCAATTTAGGTTCCAAATTTTTTAATATCCTATCCTATACTTTTTAATATTTCATATAATGTTTTTTTATTTATGGTTTTAGCATAAGCTATATACGTATTGGAAACTGCAGTTTTTTGATCAGTATAAGAAATGCAGAAAGAATAAATATAGTATCTATGGTAAAATAACAATATCACCTTTGTTATTTTCAACCGATATAATTGCTTCAATGATTTGATATATGATAGTCTATAATTTTTATAATCGTGTACCCTATATTAGTTGCTTTTCGGCAATTACAATTTCTAAATTACATTTTTCTTACTAATAATTTAATAAGTATTATTACTTTAGTTCTAAATCTGGTGCATATGAGCACTCTTCAATCGAAGATCAACTTGCTAAATATTCCACATCAAAAGAAACAAAGTTCTAAATCATTTTTTTTAATAAGTAGAAATATTCTTTTGTATTTAAATAATTCAGTGAAGTTAACCAATATACAACATGCATAAGTTTAAAAAAATAATGTATATGCAATTTTGGACTTATTGTGTTATTTATTAAATTCAATTATATAATTTCATCTGCAAACATATATTGTGTCTCATATTGTTTTGATTTCTGGCACATCTCAGCTGTTTTTTGGCAATAATATTGTAGACATTACATTTTTCTTATTCCTAATGGTTACTGAAAACATAATTACCTGTATGATTGATTATACATTAACACTTTTTCACTGATAACGGTTTTATCAAAAAAAAAAGTGTTTTTATTAACTTGTTTTTAGACAAAGAACACATTTTGCAATTATTAGTTATGCAGTTATTAGTTATTAGTTATGTTTTTTTTTTTGAGTTTGCTATGTGAAACAAAAAGTATTATTCCTTCGATGTTATGGGATAACAATTCGGTAACAAACTGATTATTGAACAGATAAATTTTAAGGAGAAACACTTGATTTAAAATCTGTGTGTATGTGTGTGCGTATTGTTTTTATATATCAGGATGTAAATACTTTAACTATTGATCTTAACATGGATGTTTATATTATAAAGTACATTAACAGAAAAGTAAATTTCGAGTAGAAGGACGTATAAAACTGAAAAGAAAGAATGATTTTTTAATTATTTGTCAAGAGTGTGAAAAAATTAAATAGGAATCATGTAACAAGTTGTGATCTGATCTGATGTTAACTCTATCGCAAGCGTTCATAAGTATAAAGAAAACTTTCTGCAAATAACCCCATAAAAAATAGTACGCAATTATCATGATATAAAATATTTGGATTGAAGTTAAACAAGTGGGCATTTTTGACAAAGTACTGTACAAGGGTACTTTTGGAGAATTTTTGTTTATGGTTAACTACACTAAATTTATGTTGCCTCATTTTTTTGTGTACATATTGGGAGGTTTGTCCAATGTATTGGAAAGAACAGTCATTGCTTTTTTAAAAACTTTCTAATTTCCAACATTTCTAATTGTATAATAAAATATAATAAAAATATAATAGATTATATAATAAAATATAATCCATTCATTTATTATTATTATTAACTTCCCGTAGGGTAAGTTATTGTAATCGTCCAAAAATCGAAATTGAAAATTTTTTCATTTCTCGACGTTTTGAAGATTTCTGAACATTTTGGCATACCTCAGAAAAAATGGATGTGTGTGTGTGTATATATGTATGTATGGATACAATTTTTCGGCCACGTTTTCGGGCGCACGGATCAACCGATTTGAATGGTTCAAAAAACATTCGATTCCTATTGATAGGGAGATGTGCTGATTAGTCTTTGGCAAAGGCAGGTCCAGCCGTTACGGAGATACGGAGCAAAGTGTGCAGAAAATACAAATCGAATTTTTGAGGAAACGGAGCATCGATTTGAATGATCTAAAAAAACATTCAATTTGTAATGATTGGGAGAATTGGTTAATAATTTTTGACAAAGGCAGGCCTAGCCATTTCGAAGATACAGAGCTAAATGTGCAAAAAATGGCAGTTTTTTGCGAACTAAGCGTCCGATTTAGATGATTCAAAGAATTTTCTGCTTGTTTCAACAAAATAATAGATTTTGAAAAAAAAATTGTTTCAATTTTTTTTTTGTATATCGAAAATAGTTAAGATACATCCCACTAGTTTTCATTTTGATCATATTGTCATATTATTAATAATGTTATATCTTTCACGATTTTATTCATTTTTTAAAAATCCACCAATTTCTACTTAAACATATTGTTTAAATCTTATCAAGATCATGTTTCTTGTATGAAATCCTGAAGATGGAACGTACCTAGTACCGAAACGTCGACAGTGAATAAATAAAGAAATGGTTTTATAAATAACTAAGCAATCTATCGAAAAAACTCATAGATAATACCGCCAATAGATAATTGTTTGAGTCATGCATTTTTAATTAAGTGATTACAGAATTTACTAAATCTATGAATTATCTATCCTAAACATGGGCTTTGTTTATTTCACATGTTTTTATTATTCAAGGTGTGCAATCACGAAAACAGATAAAGAAATACCACCCATTGTTTGAGTCATATACTTTAATTAAGTAAATCTAAATATTGTTTTTGTTTAATTTTATATGATTTGATAAGAAATCGTGCCTGAAGGCAAATTGTTTGCTTTAATCAGAATTAAATATTCGAGAAAATAGTCAATAAATATATTGATCAATGATTAATAACTATTGTTTTGAATATTTTCGAAGAGAAAATTATAATTACTTATATTTTATCGTTTATATAATATACCGTGACGATTTTATCGCACAAAACGCGTAACAACATTAAGAATGTTTACATTAAGAAGAAATGCCGAATGAATTTATCTGAGAATATATTTCTTAGAATCAGGGATATATACTATCAGGGATAGATAATATATGAAATATATACATTAATAATATGAATTGTAAATTTAAAATTCACATTTAAAGTATAAAACTTTGTACGTTTTTGAAAATTTTGGAAAAAAAAATTCTGAAAATTTTGAATTGTTTCAAGCGAACTTTAAAAATTAAAAATGTTAAAAATGTGCATATGTCTAATGATCATTTTTGACCACTAAACACATTTTTTTTTACTTTTTTCTTCGTATCTCCGAAATTGCTGGACCTGCAAGTAAGTCAATAGAAGTAAAATGTTTTTTAAATCAATCAAAATCGGGCACTTAGTCAAAAATATGGATGTTTTATGATACAATTATTCGTCCAAGTGTTCGGGCGGCACGGATCAACCGATTTGAAGAATGATTCACAAACATTCGATTCCTATTCATAGGGGAGATGTGCTGATTAGTTTTTGGCAAAGACATGGTCCCAGCTGTTTTGAAGATACGGAGGCAAAGAGCGCAGAAATAGAAGTCGAGTTTTTGAGAGAACGGAGCAAACCGATTTGGAATGATTCAGACACATTCAATTTGTAATGACGGGGAGAAGTGGTTATTAGTTTTTGGCAAAGGCATGGTCTAGTCATTTCGGAGATACCGAGCAAAATATGCAAAAAATGGCAGTTTTTTGAGAGAACAAAGCATCCGATTTGAATGAAAGATTCAAAGAACTTTTTACTTGTTTTGACAAAACGACGATTGCTTTTGGAAAAAATTCTAAACACTCTAAAAAAAAAAAATTTGAATATCGAAAATATAATTTTAATTTTTTTTTTCTAGGCTAAAGTTCCAAAGCCACTAATATACTTTAAATAAATTATAACTTTGCATTCAGTTTATATAATTCTTATAAATATTAGACAATGTCCTTCATTTTAAATCCGATTGATTAAATTTTTGTGTATTTACTTTTCTGTATACATATATAAGTTACAGTATTTATAATAATCTATTGAAAACATTTAATATCCCCTCGTATATTGCAATGCGGTACGGAAGTTCCAGCACATTTGCCTTCAGGAACGATGCCATTCACCACTAGTTAATATATAATTTGATATGACTTTAGTCATCAGTAAAATCATAAAAAAATTACTACCATAAAACAGCAAAAATATTTCTATAGTAGGAAAGTCATTGTTGCAAATGACGAAATTTATCATATTTTTATTTGCCATCAATATTTTCCTAGAAAACCCTAAAACTCAGTCAAGGCTCGTATCTCGAATTTTGCTCGCATGTCGAAACAACGAATCGCTGTTTTGCGACTCGTATCTCAAAACCCCATCATATGTGAGAGTCACTCGTAAATCAGGGTACCACTGTATTTGTTTAAATTGTTATCAAGAATTTCTTACAAGATTTTAATTTTTTATAAGAAATCAAAATTTAATAATTATTTATTTAATTTATATTTGAATTTCGATTTCTATCACCTAGCCATTGGCCAGTCAGGGGTCGTGTGCTGGTCGGTGAAGGAGTTCTAACAAAAATGTGCCGAAAGAAACCAAAAGCAAGACAGTTTTTTTTGTTTAACGATATCTTAGTTTACGGAAACATAGTCATCAATAAAAAGAAATATAATAAACAACATATAATTCCATTAGAGGAAGTCAAACTTCAAAGTCTGGATGATGATTCTCGTAAGAACTATAAATAAATATTCGATTTCAATTAAATTTTCTACTTAAATCTATTTTTCAATTTTTATTTTCATCTAAATATTTTGTTTTAATTTTTAGAATTCCTTAATAGTTGGTTAATAAGGACTGCCTCAAAATCATTTGCAGTCTCAGCTGCAACAGCGACTGAGAAACAGGAGTGGATGGCTCATATTAATAAATGCATAGAAGATCTGTTAAGAAAAAGTAAGTTTTAATAGAAGATATCTCTATTTGTTTAATAAATTTAAAATACATAATTGAACAGTAATATTTTCAGAAAATTGGTTGTAACCCCAGGTTTCAAATATTTATAAAAAGAATTGTTCAAATATTCTGCAATTTGAACAAATAAATTTAACAGAAATTTTAATGCAGGTTTTAACTGTAATTACTTAATGCTAAATTTTATTTGTAATAAAATTTGTTTGTACAGTTTATTAGAACATTAGAACAAAAAAATTATAGTTGTGCAGGATTAAATAAATTTAAAAACAATTGTTATGCATATTTTTCACATACAATGATGTAAATATTTATAACACAGTGAATTAAACTGAATTTATTATAAGTAATTTCATAATTACTTCTATTTTACAAATTATATAAATGTATTTATTTTTTCAGGTGGCAAAAAGGCTGTCGAACAACACGCAGCAGTTTGGGTACCCGATAATGAAGCAACAGTGTGCATGCATTGCAAAAAGACTCAATTCACAATGATTGTTCGCAGGGTGAGAGCATTAATATAAATTAATACTGGGAAATAACTTTCATAATAATAATTATTGTAAATGTAATATATTTTTCAATTTAACTATGAACTTCATATTAAATTGAAATAGCTTTTTGTGTAAAACAATCCAGTCTAAATACAAAAGAATTAAAAAATTTTAGTAATAATTCCAGCTTTTTAAATATTTTTTAAATAAATAAAATATATATTTTTTAATTTAACGCAGAAAATCTATTTTATTATATTAGAATAGTCCTATAGTTTGTTGAAAAAACAATTATATGAAAAAAAAATTGAAAATATAACATAATTAATACATATTAATTTTATTTTATAAATGAAATTAATTTTAAAACATTTAAGTCTACGGGAAAAATATATCTATATTATGTTTTAAACATTTATTTTAATATTTTAAATATAGATAAATATATTTGTATTGTAATGATTCTTTTTTCATAGCATCATTGTCGTAAATGTGGAGCAGTAGTTTGCGGTCCATGTTCAGCTAAAAATTCTTGTTACCCTGGACAAAGTAGTAAACCTTTGAGAGTTTGTATGCAGTGTTACGACTCACTGTCAAAGCAAAGCAACAAGACTATACTAAAAGTGGTAATGTTAAAAATTTATTCATTTTATTTACTGTCTAATTAAATAAACCAAAATTAGTATTTTTAGAAATTTAGATTTTTATACATTTATTTATAATATATAGATTTAATTATCATTGACTGATCAATTTGAAATAATAAATAATTGAAGTATTATTTACAAATATTTGAAATTTTCATTGAAATACTGAAATTAAAATATATATTTCAAACAATTTATTGAGTATAACTAGCATATTTGTTTAAAAATTGGATATTCTTCAATATTTCTAATATCATAAAGTTTTACAGTAATTCAGTATTTTATGTAATTACATTAAATCAAGAATCTATGAAAGTTTTTAGTTTTATTTTATAATTAAACTTTATGTTAGTCTGTTGAAGATTTTTGTAAGATATTATCTAAATAGCTTAATCTTAATTCTCATTATCTTATTATTTTTTTTTATTTACATTGTTACTTTCTTTTATCAGGAAACATGCAACTTGCTTTAAAGCAAATGCCACTCACACCTGCATTTAGATAAAATATATAAAAATGTTCAAAAGCCATATTTGGGAATGTTTCATACTTTTACTGAAAAATTTTAATCCAAACAAATAACAATATCTTAAATATAATGAACCAATTTTTTATTTTTCAATTCTTACATGAACTATTCATTAAAATATAAAGCTATACATAAATCATAATTATAAAATTCCTGATTTCATTTATAGATGGAAAAGATCAACAAAAAAGCGGTTCAGCTGAATCTTCAGGAGAAGACGATACCGATGATGAAGATGATGGCAGAAATCCTCAAACTGAACATGAAAATGTAAGTTTTCTTGGCTAATAATAAAATTATTCAATATTATTCATTTGCATTTAGCAGATTTTAAAGTATATACAAATATCTAGACATGATAAATGCATTATTAATTATTACAGAGATTTCAAAGCCACTATATGGGCAGTTTACAAAAAATTTGACAAAAATTTTATTGTGTATATGTAAGTTGTGTCGTTCGATGATGTGATCTGAGTTTCATTTAAAGAGTGTTCTAATTTGCATGTTTTCTTTTTTTTTTAAACATTTATTTTATGATGAGTTAGTTGATGAGTTACTGAATTATGTGATAAGGTCACAAATAATATGCAAAATTCTACTATTGAACATCCTTTTAGCAGAAAAAAATTAGGGGAAATATTTTGAATATATTTCTGATGGATTTTTTTTTTTTTTCAACTTTGCATGTTCTATGATTTACATATTATATCCCTCACTCTATATGTCTAAATCTTTGATCTCTTTCAGCCCAAATTTTATGGTGACGGTGACAAAAATGAAGATACTTCACAACAGTGATAAAAGATTTTAACTAAAAAAAAGAAAGGCGTATATATTTTTATGAGAATTTGTTATAAATATAATTATTAAGCACAAAATATTGTTATAGTGATATGTGAAACACTACATATATATATAAAATCACTAACTAATATAAGTATAGACATAAAGAGTAACTATCAATGAACTAATAATTAATATTATGCATTTCAATAATTGTTTTATATGTAGGAAACATTCTAAATCTTCAATTAGGTTGTTGCCAAGAAAGAATTTGTACCAAGTACGAAATTAGTTAATTGTTTTTAACAAAAAGTATTGTTATCTTGCATAAAGAATACTGTTAAGAGTATATACATATACATTATAAAAAAATATGAATAATAATTATCTTTGTATATTATATTTTTTCTACGAGCACTATTATAAAAGACCTAAAGTTCTTATGAAATTGTAGAAAATTATGGAGATCAAGTAAACTTTGCAATTCTAAACATTTCTTTCATCTACATACATATCAAGCGTATATTACTAACCTGCAAGAATTTGAAAACTCAATCATTGATACATGTTCTATTTATTTATTTAAAAAATTGAAATATAATAATAAATTATGTTATAGCCATAAAATATACAGCTAATAAAATTATATTGCTTATTAAAACGGGCTAGTCACTACAATTCACCAGATCACATTCAAATAATTATTAAATCGAGTTCACATTTCAATACGAACAGCAATCATGTCCATTTTTAGTTAAAAAAATTTCAAATAATAAGTTGGAAGTGCAAATATAAATATAATAATGTTTTCATGATAGCACATTTAGATTATTTGAACAAATAACAAAAATTGACAACATAATTTGTCAAAGAGTTGGAAAATGAAATTATTTGCTCAAATATGTACATTTTCATATTTGTTCATTTTTTTTTTATCAGGGGTTTGGCAACGGCTCTTTCTTTGCTTCATCCGATGCATTTGTTTTGAGATCCTCTTTCTCTTCTGCAAATAAATAATTGTAAGTGATTTCAACTTAAATCAAAGATAAACATAATTGTTTATATATATATATATATATATATATATATATATATATATGTATTATGGTGGTCCTTAATATGGACATTTTTCTAATTTTATTGCTCCCAGGGGCTCAAATTCTTCCAAATTGATAAACAAAAAATTCTATAAAAGTTCTAGCTTTCAATATTGTCTTTTAGATAGTGCACAATTCAAAGTTTTGCATAGAAATAAGAAATTTTTTTCCAAAATTTTGAAAATGTTTTTAAGTATAGCTTAATGACAAATGAATTAAAAGTGACAATTCATGTTATCTTTTATTGAAAACTTGTCGCTTTACAAAACAGGTTTTTTAAAATTTGTTTTGTAGAGCGTCGAATTTTGAATAAAACTCATTCATATATATGTACACACACACACATATACACACTTTTGGCAGTAAAAATCTCAAATGTTATATCAAATTTTTAAATTAATCTGAGGACAAATCTCTGGCAACCAGCCAATTTTTTCCAATACTGACCTTTCACTTCCTTATCTTCAATTTTAACATCTCCTTCTTTGGAGCCATCAGTTTTGTCCAGCCTAGGTCTTTCCTCTGCCCTTTGTATGTCCTGTTATCCCTCCTGCCGCCTTCTCCTTCATCTTCGCTATCAGAGTATTCATTGTCTGGAGCAATACGCTTATCTTTATCACTCTGTGGAAGCCTCTCATCCTTATCCACTTTTTCTTCATCATCCGATTCATCATTCACGGCATCTTCAGGTATTGCCTGGACTTGCACACCCGGAGCATGTGGAAGCATTCTTAGGTTTTCAAATAGTCTATTCTTAATTTTTTCAAGATATTCATTTGTATTTTGATTGGACATATTACTTGGACTTATGTGCAGTTTGAAATCTGGACCAAAGTATTCAAAGTAGTCGTTGTAAGGTAATTCATTTGCAATTTCACAACCCAAAGCTACTGATGTTTCGTATGTCCAGCATCTGGATACATTCCTAATAGTATAACCTCCACCTCCAACCATGAGGAACGGGAGGCCGTATTTTTTGACAAACTCAACACACTTTCCATGACCTTTGACTGTTAAATTGAAACAGCCCAAACGATCACCGGTTAAAGAATCTGCACCACATTGTAAAACAACCGCAGATGGTTGAAAAGTTTCCATTACTTTTGAAATTATGGGTACAAAAATTGAGTCATAGGACTCATCATCCATACCATCTCTTAAAGGAATGTTAACTGCATAATATTTGCCTTTACCTGCACCAATATCTCTAAGATCTCCGGTGCCTGGAAAATATTCCCCATATTTATGGAAACTTACAGTCATAACACGATCTGTAGTGTAGAATGCTTCCTCGACTCCATCACCATGGTGAACATCAATATCAATATATAATACTCTTTGATGATATTTTAGTAATTCTAATATACCCAAAACTATATCATTTACATAACAGAAACCAGAGGCTTCAGATTTCTTTGCATGATGCAAACCACCGCCCCAGTTGATGCAAATTTCACTTGCTTGCTTATTTAACTTAACAGCTGCGGCAACGGACCCACCAGCTGATAATTGACAAAATTCATAGAGACCATCAAATACTGGACAATCCTCACCGACATTAACTGAAATACCATATCCAATTAGTATATACGACTTTAAGACTTTTACATATCTATTACATCAAACCAGCTTACATCTTTGCATCTGCTTGTTATATTCTGACATGTTATCAGGTCTGATAGACCTCAGAAACCTAATGTAATCATCTGAATGAAATTTGGTCATTTCATCGGCAGTAGCTTTATGAGGTCTCTATAGAAATAATAATTAAATAAACATACATTCCAAGAAGACATGATTTTATCATATATATGCTCACATAAATCTCCATTTTTCTGTATAAGCCATAATTTAATAATAAATTGTGTGTCATGCGTATACGATGAGGTTTCATGGGATGGCTTGCCCATAATAGTAATTTCCAATGTCGCCTGGCAAAAATACAAATAAATTAAACATGA